CCCCAAAACCCCAAAACCCCAAAACCCCAAAACCCCAAAACCCCGGGAGGTAGAGATATGGTTGGTTTGGGATTATTGGATTGATGAGTTGCTAGATGAGATTTTGGGATGGGGTGGGTTAGTCGGATAGTGGGCAAGGGCTTTCTTCGATTACTTTGATGAATGACATGTTGTATTTGGACAGCATCTCTTCGACTTTGGATTTGGAGAGATTGCATTTGTTGGTGTTTAGAGTTTGTAAGGAGTTTTTGTATGGGGATTTACTGATGGCTTCAATAATATTCTCAAATCTTTCTGGATGATTCCCCCAGTCCATTGTTACTTTAGAGTCTCCTCAACAGCAACTAAAACTTAAATATGTGGTTTTTGCTTGTTTTGATCCAAAATTCATTTTTTCTTTAGTATGCACTTTACAAGCAACAATGCATAATCTTTCAGAGTTTATAGAATTTTTGAAAGCAACCTCTAAATCTAATGGCTGAAATTCAGTATAAAATAAAAATATTTCTTTTGTAATTTTCAACAAACTATCTTTCAGCCCATCCATTACTTTCGCTCCCACCAATAACTCTTCCCAACTCCAATTCAAGCACAGAAGAGGAAGTTGGTCAGGAATAGAATGCTTCAGAAACTGGTCGAGACTTTCTAAAGGAATGTCTTTGATGCTTTTAATAAAAACTCTTTTGATGTCTGGTAGTTTAACTTTGTTCTGTGCATAAGCTTCAATCAATTTCCGATGCTTTTCATTGCCTAGGGCTATTTCAAGTTTGGCATTTGAATCAAAAGTCTTAGCCGCTCCAACTATATCCTTGTACATGGCTTCACAGAGTGAACCTTTAACGTGCTTCAAATCCTTATCTTTCTCTTCCAACTCTTTTTGCCTGTCCTCGAGAACTTTCTGAATATCTTCATGCTGGGTTTTGAGCTGATTATGTTGGATCATAAGAGCAGAGAGTTCTTTCTCAAAGTCTTCTTTTTGAATTTGTTCTCTTCCAATCAGGTCTTGCTGTTCCTTGATTTTGTTGGTGAGTTCGGTCACTGCTTTTTCAACAGCTTTGACTTTTTCTTCTGAGTTCTTGTTATCTTCTTGGAGGTCTTGGATTTGTTTCTGGTATTTGGCTTCAGTTTTCTCTTCGATCTCCTTTGTCTTTTCTTGTATCTCCTTCTTTGTTTTGGCTTCAATGTGGTCTTTGAACTCTGTGGTTACTTCTCTGACAGTCTCCTCAAATTCTGGCGATTTCCTAATTGACTTTTTCTGGACAGCACCAATCTTGCTGTAAGTTAGTCCCACCAGCTCGCTGTCGAACAGCAATCTCAGGATCGGGTTAGAGCCTTGCTCATAGTTTCGGACTCTTCCAAAGTTGCCTCCAAGGATGTCAGATTTGATTTTTCTTGCTTCTTCAATGAGTAAATGGAACTTCAAGAACTGGTCCTTCTTCATTGCAATTCTGGCTTCTTGCTCGAAAGCTTCAAACAAACTAGAGATGTGTTTCATGCAGTCTGCAAGTCCGCTGATATTTTCCATGAGTTTGTATGCGTTGGCCTTCTTAGTGAGTGATGCCACAAAGTGATGGAGAAGTCCTACAGCGTTCCAGAGTTCGTCTTTGGAACGAATAGCTTGCACTGTGCAATTGTAATGGAGAGAATCACAGCAGTCACTACACAGTCTCAGCTTATGATCGAATCAGTAGTATTTTCGATCGTTATGACATTCATCATAGGCTCACTTGAGTCTTTTGAGAGGATCTTGGGTAGGCATTATTAAAAATAATTATAGAAAATTCATTAATTCAGTATTTTATTCTCAATACGGGGTTTTGGGGTTTTGGGGTTTTGGGG